GTTTGCTAATTTTGGCAAAGAAATAGCTGTGCATGGTGGTGCACGCCTGTAATCCCAGCACTCAGGAGGCTGAGGCAGGAGGATTGCTGTGAGTTCGAGACCAGCCTGGGCTACAAAGTGAAGGCTGGCCTGACCTGCATAGTGAGATCCTGTCTCAAAAAACAAACAAACAAACAAACAAACAAACATCCTGTTGGGGTGTTGATTGGCATTGATTTGAATATGTAGACCATTTTGGGAAGACATGGCATTTTAATAATAATGAATTTTCTAATTCAGGGACAAGGTTTATGTGTCCGTTTACCCGACTTCTTTGATTTCTTCCAGCAGAGCCTTGAGGTTTTCAGTGTAGTCTACATTTAAGCTGAAGTATTTCATGCTTTCTGGTACTCTTATAAATATTTTTACTTCACTTTTCAATTGCTCATTGTTGAAATATAGAAATGAGCTTGAATTTTGTTTATTGATCCTGTATCCTGTGAACCAATTAATTTCTTATTAATCCTGATAAGGCCTGTCTTTTTATGGTAAATGCGTTGAGATTTTATACACAAGAAATCATGTTGTCTGTGAATAAAGACAATTTTATTTCTTCTGTCCAGTCCATACGTCTGGCGGGTGTTTCCTTATCTTACTGTTTGCCACGACCTGGTATGATATTAAATGCTGGTGGGGCATGCAGACAGCTTTGTGTCTGACCTGAGGGAAAACACATTTCATGTTTAACTGTTAAAAATGAGGGTAAGCCGGGCATGGTGGCGCATGCCTGTAATCCCAGCACTTGGGAGGCTGGGGCAGGAGGATCGTTGTGAGTTCAAGACCAGCCTGGGCTACAAAGTGACCTCAAGGCCAGCCTGAACTGCACAGAGAGACCCTGTCTCAAAAAGATTTAAAAAAAAAAAAATGAGGTTAAACTGGGTATGGTGGTACGTGCCTATAGTCCTAGCCACGAGGCTGAGGCAGGAGAATCACTTGAGCCCAGGAGTTAGAGACCAGTCTGGGCAACAAAGAAAGACCCACATTCAAAATAAATAAATAAATAAATAAATATGCAAACAAACAAGGAAATAAATAAGACATTAGCTGTAGGCTTTTGCTATAATCCAGATAAAGAATTATACCCTTTACGGAGCTGAAGAAATTGTCT